AAAAAAAAAAAAAAAAAAAAAAAAAGTTAAGCAAAGAAGAACACTAACATTGAAGGAATCTTAAAATTCGTTTTTATAGTAATAAATGTTTAGGTTCAACAAACCAAACATCAAACCAAACAAGTCTATATAATTCAATAAATTTTTATGGCAGACAAAAAAACGACAACAATAACGACAAAAAAAGCAATGTTTTTTTTTTCTTGTTGACCCATCATATTTTATCGTCAGCTGAAAGAAATAAACGCACTGGAACAAATATTCCATCACAACAGTAATATTCAACAATAAACTTTTTCCAAAAATTTCAAAAATTTGATTGTTCCATAAAAAAACTATCGAAATTATACAGACCGCATTAGAACTAATGTTGTCACTGACAGAACACTTTATGCATAAAAAATTAAATTTACCACCAATGTTCCAAAAAGATAAAAAAACTTAAATGTTTGTAAGCAAAAAAAAAACGGAAAGAGATGCTTCCAGAAAAGCTGTGATATCGATAATTCAAACGGTATCGTTATCTGTTATAGCCAAAAGAATATCACTTTATCAGAAATACTATCCAAAAATTCTTAATAACGTTCAATTAAACAGCCAACAAATACTGGTTGCTAAAAAGCAATTCCCAATGACACTTGTTCTATGACCATTCAGTTTATATAAGAAGTTAAATGCTTCACCTTTGCTGTTCAAAAAAGAAACCTTTAGGGATCATTGTATTCTCAAATCTGCATAGAATTATACTAAAATGTTCAAAATGACAGAATTAGCATATAGATTAACTGGCTACTTGTCTATAATGATAATATAGTTGCTCAATGCTAGACCATTAAATCATAAAAGAATTCACATAAAAACATAACTGCATAGAAACTCAATTTTACAAGAAAACGTGATGACATTAGCACTAACTACCCTGATAATCCTAACTGCATCAGAGTTAAAAAACTTTCTAAACATATAATCTTTTAATTTTCCAAAGACAGAAAAGTCGTTCTTTCAGCAGCTAGTACAAAATACTCTCTTTTTTAAAGAAAGACTGCACCTGTGTTTTTTGGAATACAGTTATCAGGAAATTTTTGCCAAACAATGCAACAGAACCGTTAAAGCCGAAATTATCAAAACTACAAAACAGAAGTCAGATAACTTTTTTACTAGCCATCAGAATTATCAGAAATTCCTTTTGAAAACCTCTCAGCATCCAATCTTCACTAATCATGACTACTTCTACAAGTTTGCCTTATACTCTCTACAAAACTACTACATATCTACCCTCTAGGGATTTTCAACAAAACCAGTCAACTTCGCCGCACGTGCGCAATTCACTTTCAGTTGATGCGATGAGGTTACAGTAAGCTTCAAAGCCCGACGGCGATAAAATGTAAAGAACCAAGCAGCAAATAAAGAAAATAAAAAATTAATCATAATTTTCAATCCCCACAAGTCATCCAAAACTTATCCACAGACAAGCTGAGTCCTTCTGCTGCAAGAAGACCAAGGTTTCATAAAATATGAAAAGCAAGACACTCCCACAACGTTTAAGTTTC